TTCTCTGCTATGTTGCAAAATATGCGGTCCCTAATGCTTGATAGCATAAATCTATGTGATGCAATTGAGTTAACATTTACCCAAAAGCAAATTGTATTATATCGATTTGCTCAAAGCTTTCTAGATTTTTTATATTACAAGCGCTTTCAGATTTATTATTATTAATCGTCTGTGTGATGAATTAAAAAATTATATTCTTGTAAAAAGTCGAAAGCTACTTTGAAAGAGATGGAAGCACTGTTCGCGGAAAGGTGTGGAACAGGCAAGATAAGCAAAGAAATTTAGCGCGTTATTACTAAAGACAAGCATTAGTAAAACGTCATTACAAAGAATTAGATTTCTCTTGCCTTCTATGGTTGTCGGATGGAAATGTGGAAGCCTAGAATACTGTCGTAATAGGATAAATACCGTCCCAGGCATTGTTGTTATTACATGCACTACAGTCAGAACAGTGAGGATTTTTATCAAATTCTCAGGATTTCGTTTTGTTACTTCATGTTTGCTGGCTGGTGATCGCTCAAAATGCCTATCTGCAATTGTATGCGAGGACTGTTTCACTTTTGGTTTATCATGCAAATGCTCACCCGAGGCGCATCCACAAGCGGTAGTATCACTGTGCCGGCTATTTTGATGGGAAGGTGAATAGTTTGTAGCAGAATTCGTTTTATTAAGTTTACTTTGATAGGTAAGAGAGGCATAATCCTTATCATCCTTAGATAGAAAGGACGTATGAATTGACCTACGTAAAGCGAACTGCGTTTGATTTGGTCGCTTTAACAGCTGACGTTGACGTTTCAATTTGATGTATATATAAATATTGCATGTAAAAAGGATTATGTATGGAAGCAAAGAATAAGTAACAAAGTCGATCTGGCCAAATATGTTTGAAAATGTTTCATATTCTGGATTTCTGAGGCATTCACGCTTTATCGGCGCCAAATTATCTGTTTCAACTGAAACATTTTTCACAGGTGAAAATGGACTTATTATCATAGTGACTAAAAATAAAAGGCTGGCATTTTTTAAGAGAATAATGGTGCTAAATGTCAAAATTCCAATAAATACTGTAAAATTTGTCACTAGTTGGCTTGCACGTTGTGGAAAAGCGACTAAAAGGAAGCGCTCAACAGCCACAGAACACAGCATTCCTTGAGCGTAGTCGGAAGCAAAAGCCACCAAAAAAAAGTGAACTTTGCACCATAGCCAATGTAAATGACGAATATCTGTGTCAAAAACCAGGCGTGTCCAGTAACGCGTCACTGCTGTCAAAATGACAGATGTATCACCAATGGCCAGTAAAACCATCAAAATTCTCGTTGTAGATCTTGTGACGGTAGTCGCGCTTAGGAAGATAAAGATTGTAAGCAAATTTAGTGGAATGCCAATGAAAATGAGTAGTCCACCCCAAACTTGGCTTATGCGGCGGATAACGACAACGTACATTCCCTCTGAATTTGCTTCTTGGCCTTTACTGGGGATATCAGTAGCGTTGTTTTCTATTGCGCTATCTTCTCTTTTCACACGAACTCCTTCCTTATTTCTACC